TTTTGGAGTTTCAACGGTGGCAATTTGAGTTTATCTTTATTTCTGGTATTGAAATTATGTATATCATCGCGCCTCGTATATAAATTTATGTTCTGACGCACAAACAATATACAATTGTAAATGTATTGAGAGGCAACAGTCATTATACCTATTTCTTTAAATGCATCCCTAAGAGAAGTTCGAGATCCTAAGCGGTAAATAGCTCTTATAGCTCGTTTTTGAAGAATAAAAACTGTTTCAATGTCAGCGGCCGTGCCCCACAATAGAATGCCATATGACATGATGCTGTGAAAGTAGCTAAAGTATATTGTCCTAGCAGTGTCGACATCTGTAAGCCGTCTTATTTTATAAATTGTATAAGCAGCATAACTAAGTTTACCCGATAGTGTTTAAATGTGAGGGTTCCATTGAAGTTTGTGATCTAGTGTTACGCCTAAGAAAACGGTAGTATCAACTAAAATTAGTTTTTCACCATTAAGAATTATATCCCCCATTTCAACATGCTTAACATTCGGTAAAGTAAATGCATGCTGTAATAAGAGTATATCATTAACAAATATACCTACTATCATCTAATACTAGCTTAAGACAAAAAATAAATAATTATATACTAGAATAATGAACCTAAAACTAAAAACCTTTCAAAATAAAATATAACAACTAAAATACATTATTATAAGGAGTCCCTTTAGGCAAGGTGCCAATGATACTGGTAGCGTTCCCCCTTTGAATACCTAGGCTAATTCTTTGTCCCAGGTAGCTGCCAGCTCTTCGGTCTCCTGTAATGTCGACTAACCTTTTTGCTATTTCCTGCTAAAGCATAAAGAAGCTCAGGATAATAAACATTTGGTCACCCATCCGATAACTAGTCGCTGCGAAAGTTGCCGTCGTGTACATATGAAGACAAATTTCGCATGTACTTAAATATGCCTACAGCTACATAATATTGGCTGTTTAACGTCACATAGATAGACAGATATACGCTGCGTATCTATGACGTCAGAGGACACATTGATCGATGGGACAATGATCCCAGTTTACGTCACGGATGCAATATACGTTCTCAATGAATGCCGCAACCGTTTATAATATGTAGCAGTAAGATAGAAAAATCCGTAATGTAGTCATATCTAGGGATATAATTATAAATCGTAACATGAAAGCGATTCATAAGGAATATAATTACAAAACCGTTCAAGTTTAGTGATATAAATATACAACTGGATTTAGTTAAGTGAAATAATTTTAGGAATATAGATGTCCTGAGTCCGGGTCTTGTCAGAACAAAAAGTCTCAAAACTGTTGATTAGTTTTAAGTATTCTACAAATACCAAATTGTTTTAATAAAAAAATTTCGCAATTGTATTGTTAATGCTTAAATCCTACTAATATAATTTTTGTAACTCAATTACGCAAAAAATACTGAATGGATTTAGATGAAATTTGGTTCTATTTACCTGATATAATGTATAGAGACTTTTAAATCTCAAACGTTAGAGTTCTCATACGTTTGCAAACGCTGCAAGGCGCGGTCGCGCTCGCGTCAACACAGGCCGTCAGACAGCACCTTTAGGTTTCTTTCATTGTCCTAATCGAATTGTGATATTAATTAAAGTCATAGCTATGTAGATGACTTAATCTTTAAGGCGTATGGCATAATAAAGAATAAAAAAACCTACAGATAATAATAGATGGCGCTGATTGATTTCAACTTTTAGATTTTTGTTTGTACCTATATGCTTCAAGAAGTATTACTAGAAAAAAATCCCCTCGGACCAGGCAGCGGACGGGACTCGAACCCGCACCCTTCGCAATCCGGGCGAATGCACTGACCAATTATGCTACCACGGCCCTGATGGCCGCGTCGAAAGAATTATTATTATTAGTTATGACTGCCAAAATGCTTTAGGTTATTTTTAAATTACTAGATATTGAAAATCAGCGATAAACATTATTGTTTTCTTCTGCGTACGGATTTTTTCTGTGAAAGGAATCCTTGCATATATTAGAGTTAGCGAGCTTTTTTGGAATATAAAGTGCAGGATCAGAATACATCATGTATGACTATTCTGTGTGGGGCAAATTATACGTGGCGTATGAAAAATGAAACTTAAATTAAATCCGTCTTTCCTTTTTGAGTGATTGCATAACAATATTTCACATCTGTAATATAAGTAGAATGTAGGTATACCTTAATACTCGTAGAAGGTACCTTTTTTTTCGGATGAGGAACAAGTGGCTAGCGCCTTCGGTCATCGATCGGGGGAGTTAAGAAATTTATGAAATCTTAAGAAACAAATATGAAATATAATAAATACACAAAAAGCATGCTTAAAGTTTTCTTTCTATGTTACCGGGTACCGTAAAGTGGGGCTATTTGGGCCAGATTTTGGATGAAAATGTTTATTTTTATTAAGAGTGTCTTCGATAATTCCGTATTTTATTATATAAGACAGTTATTGATTCACATTTCGGATAAAATTAAATTGCATAAATCTAAAATAAAAAAGTAATGTACCTGTCTTTATCACGCTCCGAACTAATTTGGATGAAACTAGGCATACAAAAGATCTTGGAAGGTAAATAACTTATATTTAAGAAAGTCTAAAATTGATTTCAAATAAAAGTGTTTTTTTTTTATTTAATTCTATTCCATTTTGAATAGATAGCCTTCATAAATGCAATACACGCGACCGTAGGTATTTATCAACATAAGAATAGTACTACGTACCTACCCTCCTTCGTTAATAATACTAATAATACTTATCATAGGCCACGGTTCCTCAAGTTGTCCGTATTTCAACAAATGCCTAATGAGAGTTTATGATTCCGAACACAACTACCATTTTCTCATTGCTATGTGTTCTTGGGCATTCAATGTATGGGGAACGAGCAATGTCCTTTAGCTATCAGTATCATATAGTGAATGTGTTAACTCAAATATTTTAACATTTTATTCAGAGCTTCTAGGAAAATTGAATAGAAAATGTTTTGAGAAAGTTAAAGAGTATTTTGACGAGCGAAGTAGGGAAAAAGGAATCTGGTACAGGCAAATCCAGTGCCAGCCTCTAGAATTCCTTGGTTTGTCAATTTCAATTGCAGCAGAAGGTTCATTGTAACAGCTTTAAGATTTACTGGACATTATCCATCTAGGAAATATGATTTTCTTATGAAAAAAATAGATTCACCTAATTGTGAAATTTGTTGTACAGTCGGTGACGTTCAGCACATGCTTGTAGAGTGAAGAGAAGTATAGCAATAAGACGATGTCATTATTGCTAAAAACATAATATAAACATGTTCGTTGTGGGGATATTCACAACAATATTGGCAGATCCGCAGTCGGAAGTGTTCAAAAGCCTTATTAATCTTTTTTGCAATAATGAATTATGGTAGTTTTTCAATAATTTTCCAATTTATAATGATAGGATATGATGGGGCTGGCACATCCTTTATATTATGTAAAAGCCTCTAAATAAATAAGATGGGGAAAAAAAAATCAACAATCAAAAAACAAATTTTGCGATTGCAGTGTTAACAAATATCGATGTTAAACTCGAAGATGGGATCACGATAAATTATTGAATCGCACACGAAAGAAAACGTATGGAAAAATGACGCACTCTGAAACAATTTCATGAAGTACGTACGTTTGTTTAGTGTTTGCGGTTCCTAAAATTGGCATAGGTTCATGCGCAACGATCACGTCTCTACTCTCATTCTACAATACTACACGATTACTGTTTATTTTAACTTCAAGATGATGAAATAGAATGATTTATTTTTTGCTCCGTCTATAAATCAAGAAATGTTTTCAACCGAGATGGTAGAAAAACGCAAAAATTTAAGAGTATTTTGACGAGCGAAGTAGAGAAAAAGGTATCGAGTACAAGCCAATCCAGTGCCAGCCTCTGCGAATTCCTTGGTTTGTCAATTTGAATTGCAGCTTTATCACTATTTTCTATCAGATTTACAAGAAAATTCAAACATGCTTGTTTATTTGGAACTAAATTTCAGGATTTATATTTCACATGTAAATTTGGTTACTTACTCACTTCAATTTTTTCAAAGATTCATTCATCAAACAATTAGTATTGAAAAAAAATATTTGGGAAATATTTAAATGATCCTCAAAATAATAATAAATGATAACCCAAAGAGTACAATTGATAGAATTAAAGTTAGGTTACCAATTGAATTTTTTTGAGGATCAATTACTATATTTTGATGATCATTTAAATATGTGCCATTTTATTATCTCACTGATCTGATTGAACCCGGATTCACGCAATAGCAGCGTACTTAGTCTTCAATTTGATAACGTTGAATCCAATTAACATAAGATGTCATTATGCAAATTTTGTGGCCACGTGCGTGACCGAATGTGTTTTACGCATATATAACTAGGCAGTACGTATTCGTACAGCTAAAAGGCCTGGAGCCCTGCAAGAAACTCGACACCTAAACGAGGGTTTCTTATTGTCAAAGCTGTTGTTACACGGCTTATGTAACTAGACAAACTGGGTTAGAAATAATGTTCTGGGTCGCCAATCATGTCAGCTAATTGTGGAACTAAGTTTTTTTGGAATTTCGCGATTTGTCGATATAATCGACTGTTTCGGTGAGAGCCATTTGGATTTATAGAAACTTTCATTTTGACTGATATACTGAAGATTATGTTTTTACACAAGCAGTAGTCATAAAATTCAGATACTTAATTTCCATAAACTATTTCCCGTCACGTGGTCATAAAATTCGAGTTTTAATCATAGTTAGTAGCCCTGACCTATTATTGAAGACTTATCGATGCCTTTCGTTTAAGTGGTAAGCAATAAACGAATTGTGGTTTTATAGTGGTCGTAAAAAATTCGCGGCGTGCTTATGACGCGAGGTCTCATCGACTTATCACTGCGCACCCAACGTGCATTCGCGAGCCGCATTTCAATACGTCACGCAGAGGCAATAGCTGCCATTTACTCTAGACTTCTTTGGGCCCTCACCCTCTTTGAAAAAGGTCGACATTGTAGAACTTGTAAAGTTCCACGGAGAATTCGAAGGTGGCCTGCAGGTCGGTCATGGTTCGTGCGTGGAGCAGGGGGCGCGGGCGCGGACGGCGCGGCGCGCCATTCCGCGGCCGCTAGCAGGCCTGCCGCATGCTGCTGCCGTGCCGCAGCCGCACGCTAGCCGCACTACACTGCAGCACGCTCACTGCACTGCACCCACGGGCCACGGCCCACGGCCACACCCCGGTGCGGCCCGGTACTCGCAAGATCGGCGAAACGCGGCGGCGGCGACGGGCGCGCGTCACACAGTGCGGGAACCAGGAATTCATTTTTTAGTGGCGCTCAGTGCGCATGCGCGGAGATTACGCGTTGGTTGCTCGCTCCTCGCCGATCGCCGGCAGCCAGCAGTGCGCGCCTTGCCTCGCTCGCTTCCACAGGTGAAATGAAATGTGCTCCTGCAATACCTATCAGCTATCAGTCTGTGCCTGTGCTATGTCGATCCTTATCACCTAACGTTCGACTAGACGTATTGACGCGACGACGAGCCAATGTCATTCTCATTTGCATCGATAAATGAACTCGGAATTATTTATAACTCCATTTCTTGAGTGGAATTTTTATTTTATCGTCTTCATTATTAAAGGTTTTGAGTTATTTTTATCCCTAAACTTAAGAAAACAGCCGTGACCTTGCTATCGGTTGTATGAAGCAATGTTAACATTGAAGGATGATTCGTACGTATTGCGGACATCAGAAGTTGCCCATGGGATGTGGGAGAGGCGCATAGGGCGATGAGACATGAACATGACCTCTACACCTGTTCTGGCCTGGCACAGTTGATGCGTAAACAGTGTGGAAATATGCGAATTTATTTTTACTTTTTCATAAAACAAACAAACATAATATCACAATGAGTAAAGATTATTTACAATGAACTAAGTAGATCACAGAACAAAGAAAGAGGTGCTTTCTGTGTTCTGTGAAGTGCTTAGATATATTTTAAGAATACGTGTGGAGTTATGCTTGAACTTTCTCAACATAACATGTTTGAAGATAGTATTAGACAAAATTCATGTTCTGTATATATACAGAAGATGAATTTTGTCTAATACTAAATATATATATATATATAACTCAAAGGTGACTGACCGACTGACATAGTGATCTATCAACGCACAGCCCAAACCACTGGACGGATCAGGCTGAAATTTGGCATGCAGGTAGATGTTATAACGTAGGCATCCGCTAAGAAAGGATTTTGATCAATTCTACCCCCAAGAGGATAAAATAGGGAATGAAAGTTTGTATGAAACTCAATTTTAAACCGATCGGGCTGAGACTTTGTATGGAGTTATAAGAAGAATCATAGATGAATGTCATTGTGTATAATACAAGCCTGAGAACAAAAACTGTAGTCTACACCGAAGCGAAGCGAGGGCGGGCTGCTAGTAATTTTATAAATCACAAGAAAAGCTTTTAAATAGAAAGCTTGAAAGTTATGAAATCGACAATAAAGAAAGAATGTAAATTAATAGCTAGGTGGGTATTAAGTTTCCCAGATGTAATTTTATATTTCATTATACATATACAGACGTTTCTCCGCGATTCGCGCACCGAGGATTCTGTACAAACCTGTAGGTATATTTTAATAATTATTAAACAAATATTTTTTACTACAAAATGTAACTAAAATTTTACGGTTTTCGCAATTTTTCCATTATCTGTACTATAAGACGTTACTTCGTACCAAATTTAAAGATTCTAAGTTGGCGGGAAGTACCCTTTTTTTTTTTTTTTTTTTTTACGCAGGTAAAAAATCTTTTTACAGACGACGGCGCCTTTAAGAGGCACACCGCCGAACGGACCTCACACCTGGCTCCCGCAAGTATTACGGACCCCCCAGTGGCTACCCACCGAGGACCCCGCAACTCTTACGGGCGCTTTACGGTATAATATCCGCTAAAAAAGTCCTGCGAATACCTCTACACTGCTTAGCGCGAAGCCGCGGGATCCCCGTTTAGGGAGTCTACCACGGCTTCACCCCCAGCAGCTTCCCGGCCTCGCCGGGGCTCCACGGCAGGGGTCTCCCGCGGTATTTCGGGGACCCCGCAGACGTGCGCAGGTAGGCCCGCGCGTGGGGGCTGGGTACGCGGCCTACTGCCCACCATAACGCCCCCCATCCGCTGCGGATGGCTGTACAGGAGTACCCGTACAGCTCTCCGCCACCCCCCTTTGCAGGTCAGAACTGCAAGAAGGGGGGTCGCCGTTCCTGGGGGAGTGGGAGGGGGAGCGATCTCCCATCCTTCACTCCTCTCTCTGTCACCCGCCTCTCCTCGCCCCTTCTCCTTAGAGAAGGGAGAGGAGACGCGGGCGGTTAAGTTGGGGGGTCCGAGCGGCCTAGGCTACTCGGACATCCCCCCCTCCGAGGGCGTCCGTCCGGGCGCCGCCTCAGAGGCCAAACGTTCGGGAGGCTTCCCTTTTGTGACCGGCGGGTCACACCTCCCACTCCCCATTATGTGGTCTGCCGGCCGACCACACGCCGCGCACACCACACATCTGGCGGGGGCAGCACACGTCGCCGCCTTGTGCCCCGCTGCCCCGCACCGGAAGCACAGGGTGCTTCGGTCTTCTTTAGCCGGGCATCGCGCCGCCGCGTGCCCCCTCTCCATGCACTTGAAGCAGTGCGCGCGCCGGCTTAGGACGGTCACCTTGGCGAGACTCCATCCCACCTTTATTTTTTTCTCCTCTGCCACCTTCCGCGCGGCCCATGTGGGGCATCGGATGAGCATCCCCCTCATTCCTATCGGTCCTGGATGAGCTCCCACCGCAGAGATTTCGTGCGCCGAACAACCTCCCTCCTTAGCTATCGTCGCCTTCAATTCGTCCAGTGTCACCGACTCATCGAGCCCGGTTATCCTTAGGTCGGTGCACTTCCGGCCTGCCAATCTGCGCGTATTCACCCACTACCTCCTCCATTCTTTTGGCGAGGTCATCCGCTTTTTTCCTATTACCAGGCCCCGACACCAGTAGGAGCCTGGATCCAGTCTGGCTCGTTTTAATAGTTAAGCCGTCGTCGATGCTCACGGACGGCAGCTCGATAGCCGCCCGTGCCATCTCCACAATGCTCGTGAGGGTGAGGCCCAGCTCCTCCGCCCTGGGCTTCACCCTCATTTCAACTGCGGCGGTACTCGGCACCTTGATGTGCGGCGCCTTTTCCCCACCCTTACGCCGGTCCTTGTCGCGCTTGATCTGCGTGACGGCCTCGCCCTTCTGCGCAGGGCTGGCTGCAGGAGCCGTGCCCTTGCTCTTCTTCCCCCTCGCGGCCACCACACTCCAGGGCTCCATCGCCCTCGTCTCCGACGCCTTCCCCACCTTGCGATCAGCCGCCAGTGGCGGTCTCAGGCTCTTAGTTGGTGGCAGCTGGAGCCTTTCCTCTAGAGAGGCCAGCCGGGTGTTGACCATCTCCCCTATGGATACCATAAGGGAGCATTTCAACTCCTCGACGGCCTCGCTTGCCAGTGACACGACTGACTTTCTCTCCAGGGTCCTCTTCAGAGAGTCCACCTCCTTTCTCAGGGACTCAACCTCCGCCCTGAGACACCCGTTCTCCTCTCGGAGCCGACAATTCACCTCCTCAACCCTATCAAGCCTGTCCGTCTTGTCTGCCTTCTTCAGGGCCACCTCCATGAAGTCGGATATTTGTCTCGCCACCACCAGGAGAGTCTTCCTTGTCGACTCATCATCGACTTCCTCATCCGCGACCTCATCGATGAATTTCAGGCGCTCGGCCATACCGAACCTGATCTCCTTTGTAGTTAGGGTGTTCGCGTCATCGACGACTCTCCTGATCCCTTCTTCCACTTCCCCTTTCGGATCACCCAGAATAATCGGGATCTTGCCCTTGGGTCTCCATCTCCCTCTCCTCGCCGTGCTTATTTTAGGTGGAGTAGGTGTTATGTCCACCACCTCTTCCTCCATGTCGCTGCCGCCTCTAAGGCGCAGAATGCCAACATCTGCAGCATCTCCCTTACACGCCTCGGTAGCAAACTTACCACTGCGGGACCCGGTAATCCCGCAGCGCCGGTGGCCAGCCGGAGCGCATGAGCCGCTAGTAGCAAATTTCCCACTCTGAGGCCCAGCTACCTCAGAGCGCCCGGTGTCAGCGGGAGTGCATGACAAAACATTCTCATAAGACGACATATTCATTACGTTTTCCCTCTTCCGGGCGAGGGAACCCTACCTGGCCTTCTTCAAAGGTGATTTTTGAAAAGGTTTTCTTCCTTGCAGCCTCCGCCCCGAAGGACGGCGGCCCCCGGCCCCACCCTACGTGCGGGGTTACGGGTTGGCCGGAGGCGACACGGAGTTCGCGCCGCAACCGCCCTCACCAATGGCGTTTCCGCCTCAACCTAGAGAGTCTCGACCACCGCTACCCGGGCTACCCAGGGCGCCGGCCGAGAGACCCTTCGGGTGATTTTTTAGAGAGGTTGTCTTCCTCGCAGCCCCCGCCTCCAAGGGAAACAGTTCCTTTGCAGACGGCGGCCCTCGGCCCCGCACTATGTGCAGGGTTACGAGCTTGACTCGACTGCCGCTACCCGGGATACCCAGGGCGCCAGCCGAGACCACCACCGGGTAATTTTTTAGAGAGGTTGTCTTCCTCGCAGCCCCCGCCTCCAAAGAAAACAGTTCCTTTGTAGACGGCGGCCCTCGGCCCCGCACTATGTGCAGGGTTACGAGTTTGACCCGACTGCCGCTACCCGGGATACCCAGGACGCCAGCCAGGTCTCCACAGCTGGGTATGGTCCACGCCGGCCGAAGCCGGTACCCCCCATCCGCCACCCGGGGGGACGCGCCCGATAGCAGACCCAGCCAAACTGCCACGGGGGCGGGAAGTACCCTGTAGGTTTTGATTCCCGAGCGAGTTTCGTTAATATGCGGAAATTTGCGGCATAAACGGCTGTATCTTTTGATTGCTTTGGCTTAGAAGTTTGATTTTTTCACAGCTCCAAGGGACAGTAGACTTGAGTATTAGATATGAATTTCAGTTTGATACCTCCACGCGTTCCTGAGAAAAACGGTCTTGACAGACGGACGGACGGACATCAAAGTGATCCTATAAGGGTTCCGTTTTTTCCTTTTGAGGTACGGAAAACTCTAACAACAATATTAAACGGTATTATTAGTTTACGTTTAGAGCTTTATATAGAATAGTTATAAATATGTATATCGATTAGTATCCCACATGGAATTGAGGAGTAATTTCTCATCGTTTAGTATTTATGGATGATCTTACCGTGTGCCTTGAGCTATTGAGGTATTATTATAATATATTGAGCATTGCATACCACTGCTATTTTTAACTTCTATGAAGGATGATTGATATTATTAGGCATAACAGGTAAATTCAAATTCATTTATTCAGTTTAGTTTTTTACAAGGCTCCGAAAGTCGAAAGGTACGTCATCGGTTCGCAAATCTACGGCGGGAGACATTGTACTGAGAAGAACCGGCAAGAAACACAGCAAAGGT